TCCCAGATCTAATGGCTCAGAATCACAGGCAGCGAGCAATGTCACACGAGGATCAAATGGCTCAGAATCACAGGGAAATATATGTCACAAACCTAGATGGCAATGTCCTCGGCACAAGCCTACAATTATCGTAGTATTCAATTTATAGAGACAAGCGCATTAATTAAACTCCTATTGTGCATTGGATTAAAGAGGTTGAAGCTAAATGATAGTAATTTGAAAGAGATGAATGATACCTCGCTCTCCTTGATCTGTTTCCAGTATTTCTCCCAGAGAGGTTTATCCATTTTGGCACCGGGGATATCTGGGCAATAGTTTTCTTCTTCCGAATCGTAGACAGTACAAGTCCTAAATATCGGATTGGTATAACCATCCTCCTCATCGGAGATATTGGCATGATCTCCTAGTTTATGCTTCTTTGGCGCCGGGGAATTCGTTTCCTCTGCTATTGGAAACGGCACTTCCTCATCCTCTGCCTGTGCCGGTGGGTGACACGAAGGAGGTGGAGGCAGTGCACGATTCATATCGATCGCGATCAATGAAAACCCTAAATTATCTGAAACTTGGGAGAAAAATTGGGTTTACAAATAGGAGAACATAAATTCTACTTTTTGGTCTAAATAGATTTGAGATTTTCAAATATCAAATTAAATTATTCATGTCAAATTTATAACCTAAATCAAACTTATAAAACCGGTGCACCTACACCCTTCAACATACATAGGTCGTTTTACATTGATATTATCAATCAAAAATATATATATGTATATAAACTAGCAGAGCAGAGTAACAAAAGGAGCAAAACAATGTGTGAACATCCGAAATGCATAAACGTACTCAGTAGCTAGACCCGTATATCCAAATGCCATTACATGCATATAGAAAAAAATAATATTGAATTTACCTTAGCTTGTCGATCAGTGAATGGTACTATGGAGAAGAAAGGAGAAAAGGGGGAGAGAGCTGTTGAAAATGGTAGTGGAACCAGAAAGTAATCAGTTTTGGCCTGGGGTAGTAGTAGTACGGACGGAGGGGTATTGTTAGAACACATATCCATTTCATACGATCCTCCTACTTTTCTTTTATTATCATTCTCTTTTACCTTACTCTATTTGCTGCCAATTTTATTTTTATCAACAATTTGAAAAGAAGATTAAAAAATATGGGATACATATGCTTGCGTTTCGATATAGATTTCTAAATATTTTTGGAAAAATACATTCGACACAAGTTTCTAACACTCATTAATTAGTTTTACAAATTATTAATTATAGTCATAAATTTGACACATGTTGTCATTTTTAATTATATAATATGAACTAGATAATATACTAGTATCTAAAAAGTATAATGCAATATTTTAATAAAACTACTAACAAACTGAAAAAGGATACTACTCTTCTTCCTCCACTATTGATATTGACTAACATATTGATAAGATAACATGGATTAATGTTGGGAAGAGAAGAGCTCTAGGTCAAGCCCTCTTATTCTATTTATTCTATTGGGTCTACCCGTCGGGCGGATAAGCGAGATCATTATTTGTGGTGTTGCAATGAATTCATTCGTGAAGAGGTGCACTCCGATATCATTGATGTTTAATAACTTTTATAGTAATGATTGGATCTATTACTACCTTGTCCATTGAGTATAACAGAGCAAATGCTAGGCCGATTACTAGCTACATATTACAATTAGCTACGATCGAAGAGTCATCACCACAAAAACAAATAAACATTAAGAACAATATATAATGAATTATTCTTTAATAAGAATATATATTTGTCCATTTCAAAAGGAAATAGGAACTAAGCTAGAAAAGGAAAGGTCTGCAAACCTATATTTTCAGTTACTATAATCTACGGAACATAAAATAAGAGCCGACCAATGGAAATGTGAAATAAATATTGCAGCAACACTTTAAACCTCGATCGGTACGCAAAAATACAAATATTTCAAGTTCTCAGCCAATGCATGCAACAAATATATATATATATATATATTCCTTTGGTAGTTTAGATGAGTTTGAATTCTATTTTTCATAAAAGTTTTGTATGTAAATGGAAAAAGATAAAAGGGCGGACCATTGTTCAATATTTATTTATTTGTAAAAAAATGGAACAATAACCCAGACAAATATTTTATCTTGAATTTATAAAATTTAAGTTAAAAATGAAGTTGTGTTTGATTTTATATATATAATACTTTATTTGAAATTTATGTAGTTCGGTTCAGATTTCGAGAGTCAAATAATTTAATTTTAATGGTAAATTTGTGTATGAACTCTTTAAGCCTTTTTAAAATCATAATTTATATATTTAAAAATTATGTGTAAAATACTATAATCACAATAATTAATAAATTTAAAACACTTCTATAAAATTTAAATATTGAAATCTCAAAATGTAGCGCATAAGTTAAAATGGTGCAGTACGTAGTACGTACTGGTTGTGCTGCAGGTCTTATTTTGCTATAAAAATGACAAAAAAAAAAATTAGCAAACATATCCAGTTCCTCAACTATTCTACCATTTGTTTTTTTTCAACTTTTGTTATTTCATTAATTTATGCATTAGATTGGTGTTCGATGAATTTAAATTATATATATCGATGAAGTTTACTCCAATTCTATTAACCATGGCCTCTTACATATAAATATTACCATTTATAAGAATACAGTATCCAAAAATAATGAGACACTGTTAAAAATCTGTTCAAAAGAGATTACCAAAATTAGTTTTGGCTACAGAAATTGAATTAAATAACTTACACTAGGTAGCTAAGTGCAAGGACAAGTAAATTCTGCAAAACTGAATTTCATTTTCTCCTTTAAGAAAAGAATAGTGAAAATTATAACTTCAAAAAAAGTTAATTTCTTTAATCTCATAAGTGGAATCATCTTACCCCTATAATAAGAATTGTTTATTTTGTACTAACAACTTTAAAAGTTGAATGCATCAAGTTTAATATTTCAATTAATATTAACAAGTACTAATAAGTTTTGTGCTAATAACTTTAAGGGTAAATACATCAAGTTTAAATCTTAATAATTTCAAATCTTTCTTTCATTTATTAATATTGACGTTAAAAAGGTACTACTGGTAAATAAAATTCTTGTACACTCTATTTGATTTAGGACCTTTTATTGTTATATATTGCACTTTAAATATAAATATACAATTTGTAGCAACCCAACACTGACTAAATCAAACATCAAACTAGGTGTAAACCGAACCAAACCGCAAATCAAGTCAAATCAGAAAAAAAACTAGTAATTTGGTATTGGAAAAAAAAACCCGACTATGTTTGGGTTCATTTGGTTTTAACTAAAAAAAGCCAACTCGAGACCAAACCAACCCGACATTATATATGTAATTTTAAAATTTTATTTTATACATAAAAATATTTACTTTGATATAATTTTAAAATATTTCTTATACTATTTCATAGTTTTTATCTTTTAATATATTATTTCAAGTTTAAAACTTAGAATTCGGAATCGTCCAATAAAGATTATAGTTCATAGATGTTGATAATTATAATAAAACTTAAATCAAAATCAAATTAATACTAATGCAAAAAGAAAATCAATTCAACACTAAGAATGACAATAATATTGAATATTTGTTCTTTAGTTTTACATTGGTTTAAACAATTAAAATACATAATCTAATTTTAATTTTCCTTAAATATTTAGTAATGTAACTAATACTTATTAAACTTATTTTAGCATGATTTAGTACTTTTAAATTATGATCATTTTCATTATGACTTTGCAATATTTATTTTATATGATGATTTCATTCTTATTTTTTATTGAATATTTTAGTGTCATTAGTACTCATCTCGTATTTTGTGTTATTTTCTTAAGAAACACCTTAGATAATTGTATTTTGGTTGGACTAAAGAAATATTTGGAGCACAAGTTAATTATATGTTTGTATGCAAACTTTACCGAAAAAATTCAAAAATCTGAAAAAACCCGAGGTTTATTAGTTTGGTTTGATTTATAAATTTAAAAATTCGACACAATGGTTTGGTTTGGTATTTGAAAATCCGAACCGACCCGAGGTTGAAAAATCCGAATTTTATTAGTTTGGTTTGGTTTATAAATTAATTTTTTTACACAAATGGTTTGATTTGATATTTGAAAAACCTGAACCAACCCGATCATGTACACCCCTACATCAAACGATGCTAATGTCATTTGTTGTAATAACAAGAAAGTTCTTTATTTATTAGGAAAAGATATACATTTTTTTAACTAAACAAATAAATCTACTACATACCTAATTTCATTTTTAAAAGTTTTCTACCAAGAATACAAGTGGAAGAAACTACTACATATAAAAGAATTTGCAAAGCTTGCTATATATCAACGCATTATTACAAGGTCTTATTTCCATCGTTGCATAATTTCTCATTTGTGAGATGAATGAGGATGCCTGTACTAGTGGTTGTTGTATTCCTTTGATGATTCTTCTTTTAATAAAGTTGAATCTGTTTCTTTGTGTTACACATAGAAGATATCAATATGTCATGCTCTTTATTTATGAACTTGTGATACTCAATCTTACTCTTCAACATAAAAGAAAATGAATCGAGCGTGACCTAGTGGTTAGTAAAGTGAGGGAGAACCATGAGCAGAGCTACTCGTTACCTGTACTGGTGTGTACAAGTTGGTCCTCGATCGTACCTTGGATATTTTGAGCAACAACCCTTCCACATGGGATATTCAGATCACTATGGCTGATTGTGGCTATTTGAAAATGTGTAGTTTTAACAAACAAATATGAATTTAGATTGCATTACTAGTAGTAGACATGAGAAAATTACTTGTGCAAGTAAAATGATCAAAAAGTTAGCGAGGAAGAATCCAATAAAAGAAAAGAAATAAAGAGGAGCATTTCATTCCTTCATCTCTTATGGCAGAGGAACATCTCAATACAAGAACAAATTGTTGACAAGCATAATTAAACTCCTCGTATATGCCTCGAATTCAACTAATTTCTATTTTCCGGCAAAGTCATCTATATTACAAAAGGAACACAACGAGGAAAAAAAGAATATGCCTGAAATTTCAGAGTGAGGAGAGATATAGTAGACCTCAAATCCCAGGTATCATACATGCTGCTATACAGGACCAATCTATCTGGTTCAATATGAGAACTCATGACCTCGAAGTGAAATATACTTCTTAACCCAGATGGCAATGTCCTCGGCACAAGCCTGAGCTTGAGGGGTCTTAAGAAGCATGTCAAGAGTTGCAAACTCATGAACTGCATCCTTGTACTCAAGAACAGGAGCATCAACGTTTACCTTCCGTAGTTCCTCTGAATAAGCAATGGCACGGTCTCTCATCCAGTCATGCTCTGCTATCACTGTCAATGTTGGGGGCATCCGTTTCAGTGGAGGTCCTCTTCCAGGGGTGAGAGGGTTAGCAGCAGGATGATCCAAGTCAAACTCCCCTTCAGGTAAAAATAACTTCCACGCAAGAGTGCACAAGGTCTTGTCATAGAAATAGGAATTTGCTAGTTTAATCTCGGAATGTGTTGGAACACTTCCAATGAAAAAAGGATACATCAAAACCTGCGCCACCACTTTCACTGGATCCAAAAGCTTACCTGCCTCTACAGCTTTCCGAGCCACATAATCAGCTATATTTCCCCCACAACTCACTCCTAGGAGAACACACCTGGATGAACACATCAAAAGAACAAAAAAACTAGTGAGTTACTACTTACAACATTTGAAGGAACGAAAGGAAAAGAAGGGTGTCTTCATTTGGCAAAGCATAGACAAGTATTATTAGGCTTGTATTCACATTCAAAAATGTCACCTAACATACGAAAGAGAGGCACCTTTCTTTTATGATAAGTAAGATATTGAGTCACCAACAAGCAGTAAGGAAGTGCTGTATATAATCGTACATCATGTTATAGCCCCAAAAGAGAATTTTGTTAGATCGTTTCTTAGGTATTCCATATTACACTATTAATTCAAAAAAGTTGCTAAAAGAAAACTTATACAGTATAGAGTAACTACTTGTCCTTCAAATCACCTCTTCTGAAAAAGAAAATATTAGGAAATCTCCCTATCAAATTCTTTTGCAGATTCTCTACTTTTTGGAGTATGCAGTTATTTGCCACAACTTCTTCTTAACTTCTGCCTTCCTACTAAAAAGATAAGCTAATTGCTTTGAACAACAAACCTTCCACGCATCTAACCATAATTACATCTCTCTTAATTCTTTTTCCTCTGCTAATTCTCCACTGCCATTTGGAAAGTAATGTTTTGTTAGGTAGGTAGGTAGACTTTTGGCTGATGTAAGGCACCTGATGATAAACCATGACTTACCGACATCAAAAATATATTAAACACCAAACTATCTAAATGTGACTGGAGATGATAAAAAAGAGAATCAAGACTATAGTAATGCAATTCATTGTGCAGAGATATGATTCATCCATCAAGTTGGGGCAAGTTTTCACCCATTTCTTTTATATACTTGTTCCGTTTTAATCATAATAATAGGGTTTATCATCTAGATCTTTCTGAAAGGAACTCTTTATTTTATCAAGTCATCTCTCCGCCAAAGCTGGAATGAAGAAATGGACATAAAATGAGTTGGCAAGCTACTAAGGAAACTATTCATCAAGGATATCTAACACCTTTATCAGTTGTGCTCATTATTGCCGTGAATTATGAAAGCCATTTTTATTTTCGAACAATAAGCCTGTAAAATTGGAGAATAAAATGAAATAAAAACCAGAAAAGAACCAAAGATTTTTTTTTGTTGATACTTGATAGCAAGAGAGAGTATAAGAGAAATGCAGAACAGAAGGTGAAAACTGAAAAGCATATATAATGCATTTTCCTTCCCCTTCGAATAAATGCATAGTTTGGTCACAAACACACTTGCCTTTATAAGAAAAAGGCAAAAAACTAAGCAGCCACATAAAAGTATTGTTTGATAGCAAAAACCAAAACTAGGCATTTGTAAAAAATGTGTTCTTTGATCCATTCTAGCAGCAGCTTCAACTTTCAGTACAAAGTGCTACTGCGGTTACACTCAACCTAAAAATTCCCATTCCACAGCAATATTGCATACTTCATAAGCTATATTAGCGACTAGCTGGCTACATTTCAGCTTAGTGCTTGATTCCATTAAATTGAACCAACTATTAAACACATATCTTTTTTTAGTTTTTGTTTTGAGAAATGGACATTCAACCAATTATCGTAACATATAATAATCCGTGATCTAAACTTCTCACTGAAACGCATATACAAGGCTATAAAATGAATGAGATAGGTAAACAAAATCTAACCTTGACGGATCCCCATGAGCAGCCAACCAAGGCTCCACCAACGATGCTCCAAACGCATCAGCTATATGCCCATACGTATCAGATTTCTTCAAATCCGCCCCTCCACCACGTCTGCTCCCAACCGACTTACTACATTCAGCTAAATTAACCTGTTTGGCCAGCCAATGCAGCACCTTCAATCCATCCTCAAACGCAGCTGGATACCGATTCTCAGGTGCTAACCTGTATCCAACAGCTAAAACAATAACATCACAAAGCTTAGCTATCCTTCTACAAAACAAATCATTCGCAGTCGAATCATTACTCCCACTCACAAACCCCCCACCATGAAATTGCAACATTACTGGTAACTTCCTACAGTTTTTTCCAGTAACAGGAGAATACCCTCTATAAACCCCATTTTCAGATTTCAAACCAAGATCATCAGCAACAGAACCAAGACTACTTCTCCTATGATTAAACCCATTCCTCTGAACATGGGTCTGATTCCCATAGCTATTTCGACGTAAAAGCCCCTGATTCGAGTCAGATCCAGACACCCTAATTGTCGATTTCGATTTCAGATCAGATTCATGAGAACCCAAACAAGTTTCAGGGAGAAAGATCCGAATTGAAACAGAGGTCCCTGGATCTACATGTAAATCTTTGGTTGCAACACCATCAGTGAATAAAGGATTGGAAGCAGCAATGGATTCTTCATTGGGTCGAGATGTTACACCAAAATGCTGTGACCCATTAATGGTGTCATCGATTTGAATTCGGTTCTGCAACCGATGCTTTAACATAAATTTGAAGAAAACACTGTATAATTTCACAGCCACGCTTGGCATTTCATTCAAAAAACACACAAAATCAAGAAAGAAGCAAAATTTGTATAGCTAAAATGATGAAAACACCATTGTATTTGATATGTATTACATTGAAATGAAGAAGATACTTTAGGGTTTAAGGATTAAGAAGATGGATTGTGATTAAGGAAAAGGTATTAGAGATTTCTTGATTCAATTGGAGAAAAAGATCCAATTTTTAATTTTTTAATTTCTTTTTGTGTTCTAAGTTTTTCTTTTTCTTATTTCCCAATGATAATCAATCATAGTCCATTGAGCTGTTTTTTTTTTTTTTTTTAAAAAAAAGAACTTTTAAATTTTGGCCTTTCAAGTTGAGGGGATGTAATTAGTTAAATGATTATTTAAAAAAAAAAAAAACTAAGACGATTAATTTAGCTAGTATGTATTCTTAAAAAAAAAATTAGTTGTATAATAAGAGTAAATATTTCTATCAAGTAAGGGGTAAACATTCTCGCTTATGGCCTTGTGTAATCGTCGATCTTCTTTAGCCTTTCCTTGTTGTTTTTGGTGAAACTGTAAGTTTATGACCTGGGGAATAAATGAGACGTATTTTTTAATGGGTGCTTCAGGGATTCCACGCCTTTTAAACGTCCTCACACGCTCAAGCGACGTGAGGTCACATTTTGTGTCATGTCAGTCAACAATGTTTAAAAGGTACAAATTATGAGTGGTTCAAAGATTTAATAGGAAAATGACGTAGTTGAGATACATGAGGAGGGAAAAAATCCAACAAGTTTAGGGGCATGTTTATGTGTTCAACAGTTCAACCTTATTTTTGTTATATGTTTCTTCTTTTTTCCGCATGAGATCAATAAGTAATAAGTAACATAGGACAATAGCGCGGATAAATTATCTAGTTATAAAATACATAAGAGAATAATTGAACAAATTGTGAGGTGGATGTACTCGCGTGACAGCGGATTCGTACGTCGGTGTTAGTAAATTGAGCTATTATTATTTGGGTGTACGGTAGATTTGTCTTCAACTTTATATTTTATAGTGCTTATTAATTATTTTTTTACATTTAAAGATAACAAAGTATTTGAAAAACAAAATACCTCCAAAATAGTAGTATTTCAATATTATTATTTTTTTGGTTTTTTTTATTGGGCTTCGACTAAATTCAAATTCACGCTCAAAATGGTCACACATTTTGGCAGTTGAGAACAGTGTTAACAAAGACGACTGCATGTTTAAATGCATAAAGGATGTAAAGTGACATCTTATCTACAAAGGAATCCAATTGTAAAATCTCTTTCCATGTAAGTAGTTTTACCCTTGACAAATATCGGATGGATCAGTATAATTTTTCGACAAATGGATCTAATTGAACACCCTTCGTTGTTCATTTCAGAGCTCCGCGTCAAACAAATATCAGATGAATTAGTCAAGGTGCCCACAAGATAGATTGCTTGTCATCAAGACTTAGCTTAATCAGTTGCCTTTCACTTTTTCTATCACAAGATTTGAGTTTTTCACTTTGCATAGTGTTGAATGATAATTGAACTGACAAATCTTCTTCCAGAGCAACCATTAGCTGGCATTCACATGCCTAAACAGATGCTACAACAATAACCAAATTGTTTATGAAAGCTAAACTTCACCTTTTTATTTTGACAACTATTCTTCATCTTATATGTGATGAAAATAGACTTACCTATTAAAAGTCACAACATACGTCTTATCTGGCTTGTTTCATATGTATATAAACACTCACCAAATGTTTTCTTTTATGATTTACAGCAGCAACAACAACAACATATCCAATGAAATTTCACGAGTGGTATGATTTACTGGAACAGTTATAGAGGAAGAAAAAAAGTAAGCCACTTTGAAAAAACTCATCCAAAGCAATGTTTCGCCTGCGTTAATTTATATATTTTGAAGATTATCTACAGAAACATTTCAGGCCAAGCTGCAAATGTATAACATACACATGATGGTAACTAAAAGGAAAAAGATGATAAGCATATACCTGAAAAATTGTACTCTTTCGATCATTTGTAAATCCAACAAAAGAGGATACACCTATATATCGAGCAAAAATGCGATTGCATATGTACAATTGATGTAACTTATTTAGTTGGATTCCACATACTAGTGAGCTCTTCAATTCAACGGAAAAGTAGTACAGTAATGAAGATATAAGAGTCTCTAGCTAAATGGTGAATGAGGGAAGGTCCTTCAAGAAACTAGCACTAATAACTCATTGCGTATAGCTTTCATTGCAGCGATGATCTCCTTGTAATCTTTTCCATGTAGTCTCATGTTTCACTTTTGGTCCTGATCCTCTTCATATTTCTGCAAGCAACCTTCAAAGAGTTCAGCATCAATGTCACAGAAAAACAATGAGATATATACACAACCTGGTAACTATTAATATAATGTTGCCTCATTCTCTATGCTTCAGAAGAATTTTGGTCCTTGCACATTTTGCACAACAAAAATATGGTATATATTGTTATTTGAACGCTAAAGGTGATAATTGATTGATTTCCTAATGAATGGGTGGTGCACCATGAACTTTCCATACATGCGGTGCAGTACAGTCTTTAAGTACTCCCTTTCTCTTAGATCATCATCAGAATCAAAGATATCTAATATCCTGAGAACAAAAGAGTGATCAATGTATTTGGTGATGCCACAAACCGGAGAAGCAACTCATAATACACAATTTGCACATGCAGCATCCATCAAGGGTTCCTCTTCTTCCAAGATAAGAGCTTCCAATACTTGGTTTTCATGAGGTTGAGGAGCACGAGACCTGAATAAGTTTAAGGACACCATTTTAACTGTTTCTTGCACCACAGTTTCCATGAATTTCCCAGCAGCAGAAGTAACACAATCAATGTCTTTTTCTTTCAAATCTTTCGTTGGGTCAGTAAAGTCAAACAAGACACAATACAACTTCAAGTTGTGTTTATCAGAATTTGGTACATCTCTAAAACTCCTCATACGGGGAAACTGTTAGTGTTTACAGCCATGGGAATTCCATCTGCATTATTCAGTCCAGTAGTAGACAAATCACTGCTTCTATATTGAACTGGTTGAAGTTCCATCAGGATTTTCTGCTGACTTAGACAGCTTCCTAGGAAGCTTAATTATTGAGTATCTGTTTGATCATCACTACAAGATATGGTCTCCTTCCTGTAAACCCCTCCCTACTTGCTTCACTGATCTAAATACCAATTGAAACGTTTAAACTGTAAAACTAATTAATGACTAAACCAATTGAAAGCAACCCACTAGATATCTCATTCACCTCACAAATTTCATTATCTTCCCTAGAGGCCTAAAGAAAATTATAAGCTCTATATAATCCATAGTTGTACCTGACTAATCCAATAAATCTTCTTGTCATCTGAAAAGCAAATCCCGGATATCTAGAGGATTAAAGAAGTCAAATTTCATTAGGGCAAAAAGCTAAAAGATAAACGTTTTCTCACCAAATTCATCTTTTGTTCAGAACCATTTTGTGAAACACAAAATGCTTGATACCGATGAACCAACAAAAACGAACTTATACATCATTCAAAAAAATAATAAATTTTTTTTTTTCTGAATCTGAGACAACAATTCCGATTTCTAATATGTAAAAGAAGCAAACTTTGCACTGACCTTGATTGTTTCTTTCAGATGGGGTTCACTAAACTATTCAGCAAGACTCAAATAGGCAAAGATCTAGCCAAACTCCAAGAAAGAAGATACTCCTTGAAGTGAAATCACCTGAAAAAGAGTAAAGAAAGGAACTTTAGTAGAAAACAGTGGATAAAAAGAACAAAAAAGCAGCATTCATGTAAGTTGTTGATGCTTACATTAAAAAGGTATTAGTAGTTTAGTGGATGGATGAGATATAAATATGAGGACTGAAAAAATATTGAAACTTTTTAAAATAGGGTCAGTGATAAACAAAATCTGAAAACAGGAAGAAAAGGGGTTGATGGATTAGAACTTAGAAGGATAAAAAATGGTTAGCAGACCTTATGCTTTGTCTCACAATTTTCAATTTGACACGTACTTTGATAATATGTTAAAGAAATGAATCCTCGATTTAATTACTCAACTTTAAAAATTAAATCAAGGAGTTATCGTAGTCCAAAATCATATACGGAGACCAAATCACCATTCACAACTGATGTGATAGAATGAGTCTAGTTTAAATAAAATGAATCTTAAGTCTACTTAATTTTAATAACTAGTTCAAAGAAGTGAGAATTGTTCGAGTTCAACAATATGGAAGTAGTGTAAGTAATGATTTAAATTTGAGGATCACATAATTCATTACTATAATTATCTACACTTATTTCTTCTCTGTCTTATATATTTTGGATATTTGTCAAATCTAAACTGCTTTTTTCACATGGCCATATCCTCTAATGAGTGTGATAGGTTCGTGGAGAGATTTAATTGTGGTCCATGCCTTGGTCGATTCATAGTATTAATAATTTTATAATTTAATTATCAATTACAGTATGTTTTTAGCAAAATTAGGATGTATATGGATGCACATATCTTATCTTTACTCCTAAAAATAGAGATGATAGGTATATAATCGTTATCATAAAAAAAATCGATGAAATAAATAAAAGATCTTCACTCTTAATCAAATTTAACTCATTACATGTGTAACAATCTATAATACTTTAATTTATTTTTTTACAAATTTTGGCTCCGACACTAATTACTTAAAGAAAAAAGAAAAATAAATAGAAAATAGTTATTGTCAAACCAACCATGACGTGGAAAGCATTAGGGAAAACTCATTTTGGTACAGCACTAGTCATGACTTGGTTTTTTGTATCATTATATTTGTTTGGTTTTTTTCCATTGTCAACACAAACGTTTGCCCAATCAAAATACATTTTTGCTTCTTCCATTGTTTTGGTCTTTTTCCAATATAGTCTATAGTAATATTCAATAGACAATAATAGTCCATAATTATAACGTGTGATTCGCAGACTATTACATAATAAAAAATTTATCCGTACGCATCATAGAGTCAGAAGTTATGACCAAGATTATAACGGCTATGAGTTATCTTGAGTTTCGTTTAGTTGGGTGAAATAATTCCAAAGCGACCATTAACATTTGATCCGACAACAACATTATAACAGAGTCCCGCGGTCTTTATAGTTTTGGCGCCCTCTTCATTAGTCATTAGTCACTTTCACCTTTCCCAATTATCTATGTATCTATAAAATTTCATATTTCAATGAGAATCTTTCCCCCTTTTCATCAACATCTTTAATCTTTCTTACTAAATTTTCTCTGATTTTGTCCTCTTTTTCTGTTTCTACCTCCATGCATTTACTCCTCTTTTTCTTCAATTGTTATGTTGTAAATTATCCTCCATTTTCTTTGTGGTTAAGCACAGAACAGATCCATCTTGTAGTAAGGTAAGTATTTCAAGTTTTCATTTTTTTTGCTTCTACTTTTTCATCCATAAAAAATGCTTCTTTCTAGTTGGTATTCTCATTTCTATTCATTGTGTGTACTCTAAGCTTTAAAGTTTCTAGCTTTTTTCTTTGGAGGTATATTCACCTTTACTCTCTTTCTTCTCCTCTGTGTTTACTTTTTTTTTTTTGGCTTGAAATCTTGTAGGGTCTTGTCTCATAATGATATATTTGAGGAATTTGTTTGTGGGTTAATCTCTTTTTGGTCTATCTTATCTTCAACTATTAATTTAATGTTGTATTTTCTTGTTGCATAATCATTATTGACCTGTTCTGAGCAAAAGATTGGCTCTTTTCCTGAGTAAAATCCCTGAAAGAGTAGTTGGGATCTTTTTGGTTAATAAAAATCACTTCTTTATTGGTAAACTTTTTTCTGGTTTAGCACTCATCCCGCTCCTAAGCTAAGGATAAAGAGTCTTTCTTGTGTGTTTTAGTCTTTACGGGAATGATTCACATATGTTGGTTGAGAATTTGTTGATAGTGACATTTTCACGTTCTAGGTAGGCTACTATATGTTTTTTGTTGATCGAGCTGGTTTCCCTCATTTCACTCGTCAAGCCCTCTTCACGAACTTGTACAATCGTTTGTAAGCATTCGTTTAAATGCCTCCTACATACTTGCCGCTTCGTTGGGAGAGTACTGGAGACCAATGGTGGTATGCTTCACCAATTGATTGGGCAGCTGCAAATGGTCACTATGATTTGGTGCGTGAGCTTCTTCGCTTAGATGGAAATCACCTTATCAAGCTCACTTCACTACGTAGGATCAGACGGCTCGAGTCTGTTTGGGATGATGAAGAGCAATTTGATGATGTTGCTAGATGTCGGTTACAGGTTGCAAGGAAGCTTCACCTTGAATGTGAGACCAAGAAAGGGAAAAATTCCCTACTTACAGCTGGCTATGGTGGATGGCTACTATATACTGCTGCCTCTGCTGGAGACCTGGATTTTGTTCGAGAATTGCTCGAAAAAGACCCCCTTTTGGTCTTTGGAGAAGGGGAGTATGGTGTCACTGACATATTATATGCTGCTGCTAGGAGTAAAAACTGCGACGTGTTTAAGGTTTTGTTTGATTTTGCTATGTCTCCAAGGTTTATAGCGCGTGGTGGCAGAGGTTTAGAGGAACAGATTGGGGAGATTCCATCTGCTTATAAATGGGAGATGATGAATAGAGCTATTCATGCAGCTGCTAGAGGAGGCAATCTTATGATACTGAAGGAGCTTCTTGTTGACTGCTCTGATGATATATTGGCTTACAGAGACATTCAGGGTGCAACTCTCTTACATACGGCTGCTGGCAAAGGCCAGGTCGAGGTAGGATTTGTTTGATAATTACCAGTTTAAGCTTTTGCATATTTTTGGTTCTTGGTTCTTACAAATCAATACAGCATACAGGCAACTAACATACTGTGTATGTGCTTACTACTTGTATAGCATGATCAACTGCTAAATTAGTATTCAGTAGTCTAATTGCAACAACTCAGTAACTTTTCTATCTTAATCTGTCACTTTATACCTCAAAAGTTATTAGTCTTCAATAGTTTCAACCATGAGGTTTTGACATAAGCACTCATATTAGTATGAAGTGGTAAAACCAAGAATCATCTTGCTTTGCATAATTTCTTGGGAACTTCTATACTGTTATTGAGTATGCAGAAATTTCTCCTGATAGGATTTCTGAGTTGCAGATTTCGTAGGTGTTGCCCGTCTCAGTTCGATATTTGTCATGTTAGATGAATAGTTGCTTTTACTAATTTATAGTTATAGGAGGGTTTAAGTCAGTACTAAATAGTGATGCATACTATTTGCGGAGTAAGAGAAATAGGAAATCCATTATTAAAAAAGAGAAGTTTAAGCGGGATTTTCAGATATCCTATTTTCATCTAATAGTAAATGATTGATCTTTGTTGCTGTGGTCATTTATTCTTGTTATGTTTTTCATCTTTGAACGACACCTCAAAACAAGCTTTTAGATATTGTTAGAGATGTGGCTGCAAATCTGCAGTATGCTAATGTTAATGGTTACGGTTGCAGGTTGTTAAATATCTTTTAAAAAGTTCGGATATTATCGACTCCATAGACAACCAAGGCAACACTGCACTACATGTGGCTGCTTGTAGGGGCCAATTAGCTGTTGTTGAAGCTCTCATTGTTTCTTCACCTTTGTTGATCCATTCAAAAAACAATGCTGGAGAAACATTTCTTCATGTTGCCATTAGTGGTTTCCAAACGCCTTATTTCCGCAGATTGGACCATCAAATCGATCTCATGAAGCAATTAGTTTGTGGAAAAATTCCCAATGTTGAAGAGATTGTTAATGCTGAAAACAATGACGGTAGAACTGCTCTTCATTTGGCTGTCATTGGAAATATTCATTCTGAACTTGTGGAGTTACTTATGACTGTCCGATATATTAATGTCAATACTCGTGATAAGGATGGAATGACACCACTTGATATCCTGAAGCAACGGCCACGTTCTGCTTCATCAGAGCTACTTACAAAGCAGTTGATATCTGCAGGGGGGATTTTCAGTCATCACGATTATTCTGCAAGAAGAGTTGTTGCATCCCATTTAAAGATGCAAAATATAAATAGCAGTCCTGGAACTTCTTTTAGAATCTCGGACACTGAAATATTCTTATATACGGGCATTGAACATGCATCAGATGGCAGTAGAAATGCTGAGCTGAGTCATCCCTGCACGAGTCCTGATACCTTTTGTTCTACAAATGGTAAGAAACCTGGTTCCGCAAATGATGCAGCACAAAAACTGAAACGCTTCTTCCATTGGCCAAAAATTAAGAAAAGAGATAGTAAGAGAGTCAAGATATTGGTGGATCAAAGTTCTGCTAGTAATTCAGATGTGGCACCAGTTACTCTACGAGAAAGGTACTCAAAGCCCTCATCACTTCCGAACCACAAAAGGACTCTCTCTGCTAGTAGTAACCTTCCAAGTCCGACAGCAAAGAAGAAATTTGCTTCAGGACTAGTAAACGGTGTCATGCAGGCCATACCACATCTTAGCCTCCCTCGTAGATCATCTCGTGCAAGTTCATTCTCAATTTCATCACTGTCTTCACGCAGTTCTATGGACAAACAAAAAGCAATTGTAACTGACACTGAGCTTGCTGGACCTTCTTGTTCTCATCAATCAGAGGGTGCACCATCAGACTCGATACACAAACAAAGCGCAGGACATAAAAGGTTGGTGAACCAATATTTGTGTTTTGGTGCTTCAGGACGACCTGTCAAGGCTCCTTCAACCGGTATGCAGCCATATGACATCAATGAGCGGTCTGTCCTATCCGCAGCTTGACAATGCTGGTTCTAAAAGGTGAAAAGAAGTACATGTGATGGCCTATATGCATGGACTTCACAACAGTTTGCAGGGGAGTGAGCTCTTTTCCTGATAATTTTCATGGTCGACGTGTCCGCATGAGCTACTAACATATGAAATATTTCTCTGAATTAGTCCTTTTTATTGGAGAAGAAAATGTAAATATGTTTGTAGCTGTAACAAAATGACTTTGTTTCTGTACCTACTTGAGCAGTTGGATGTAATAAGAAACTTCCTCTTCAGCTGCTTGAACAAATTTCTCTACAAATTTGAGTCTTGATTAAGGTAATGTAGAAGGTTCATATTTGCCCGTGAAATATGCGAAATGATTTCCCTATAATAGTTAGGGTCAATCATGTCCTTAACCGTTATAAAAATGACTAATTTTGCCAAACGGCTGATGGTTAGAGACTAATTAATCTCTAATTACTGTGTAAACAACAACATTATACCCAATATGATCCCAGATCATCGACTCAAGTTGATAAAAATGCTAATATTGCGGTTGGAAGAAAAGAAAGAAAAAGAAGATTGATTCTCTTATTACATAAGAGAGTTTCGCTGAAGCAGTCACGTCTTCACATTAAATTTGTGCAAACAAAAAGTAATTAACAACTTAAATATTTAAAAATTATAATAAAATTTAATCAACTTTTTAAATTTTATCTATATCACATTAATTAAAATAAAAAATACTAAGATATTAGACCCGTACTAGCACGAGCACCGTGTCTAATACTAATGATAAGTGATAGTCACGGTTAGCAATAAAAAAAGTATTCATATTCTTAATAGCAACTTAAGTTGATTCTCAAACTGTCAAACATCAACATTAAAATAACATTATCTATGATGGTATGCGTTATGGCTTGGTCTCTTCAACTTCTCAAGTGTCAAATGCTTGAAATTAATTTATACATTTTTTTTTATCGCATGAAAAATCACAGTTGTTATCTTTCGAGTGCGTATATGATAATTTATTTATGTATAGTAACTCATATATTATATAAAGGCAAATTTATGTGATAAGCTCGATTGTGGAGGCATTGACAGATCCTAACTTTCTTTATGAAATACCTAAATTTTCTATCAATTGAAGTTCGATCAAATTTAGAAAAATCATTATAGATTAATAATATACATGAAAAAGTAAGACACTTGAAAAAAATTACGAATTCCCCTAACTTATAAGTAATATTGGATATATTAATTCTCTAGATTGATTTGGTCCCTCATATATGTAGCTTATGGAAAAGCTCCGTTATCTATGTTAAAAACTTATCAATTTAGTCTTTCACCCTAAAATCTTAACGACACAAAAAAAATTATGTCAAATTAAACAAAAACAAAAATGTGCAACTCATGTGACATACAAAACAAAAACAAAACATATGCTACCAGAAGTACAAAACAATTGAACACGTCTCGTACTCACGTGACATACAATTTTATTCATCTTATAGAGTTTCAATTGAAATTGAACACGTCTCGTACTCACATGACAAAACATTTATTTAATTCATCTTATAAAGTTTCAATTGAAATTAAACAAAGCTCGTACTTTTTCCAGAAGAAAACAAAGACAAAACATATGCTACCAGAAATAATTTAAATACTGGACACTTGACTGTACGTCTCTAACAACCACTAATTTAGTTGGAATCTCTCTTCCAACTCCGACACAAGGTGTCTCCGACGTGAAATCGCCGGAGCTACCGCAACACAACTACTTTCCTCCTATGGACAACTCAAGTTCATCATCTTCCGTCGACCCAAATAGCGGATTCTCTTCAAAAACCAAAACTTTCCATAGTCTCCGACCACCACTCCTACTTCCTCCAATGTCTTCTCCTCTTTCTGCTGCTTCTTATGCACTATCTCTCCAACACAACACTGAAGACACCGCCTTTATCGACTCATCCACCGGTCTCCATATCTCCTTCTCCGATTTCCGGCAACGTGTTGTTTCCTTAGCTTCTTCCATTCAGAATACACTCCGTCTTTCCAAAAACGACGTAGCTTTTGTTCTTTCTCCAAACTCAACTCATATTCCGATTCTGTACTTTTCTCTTCTCTCCCTCGGTGTTGTAATCTCTCCTGCTAATCCCCTCAGCACAGAATCTGAGCTTTTGCGACAGATTAAGTTAACGAAACCTGTAATCGCGTTTGCTACATCGAAAAACTTCCAGAAGCTTCCGAAATTGAAACACCCAACTGTTCTAATCGATTCGCCGGAGTTCGAATTGATGATGAGGAACACTGAATTGAAGTTCGAAACAGTGGAAGTGAATCAATCGGATTTGGCGGCGATTATGTATTCGTCGGGGACTACAGGGGAGGTAAAGGGGGTGAAGCTGACTCAACGGAATTTTATAGCAAGTATTGCGAATTACCATGCTCAGAGACCGGAGAGGGATTCGCCAGCGGTGATGTTGTATACGGTGCCGTTGTTTCATGTGTTTGGTTTTCATTACTTTTTGAAATCGGTAGCTTTAACTGAGACTGTGGTGGTGATGGAGAGATTTGATTTGAAGAAAATGTTGAAGACGGTAGAGGATTTCAGGGTGACACAATTAGTGGTAGCTCCGCCGGTTGTGGTGGCGATGGCTAAAGGAAGTGTTACTCATGGCTATGATTTGAGTTCATTAGAAGCCGTTGGCAGCGGCGGAGCTTCACTTGGGAAAGACGTTATGCAAGCATTTGCAGACAAGTTTCCAAAGATCATATTATTTCAAGTAAGTAAAATATGCAAACGAGTTAAAAGAGATTCAAGGTCTTATATAAATACGACCATATATGTATAATATAACTTTTTTCCGCAATGAACCTCCTTTTGCACTTAAATTTGTATAAAGTTAAATAAATAGGTATATGTGTCTTACGTGGCATGATATGATGTCACATAGGATGTGAATTGTTGCGTACGACACCAAGTAAGACATGTGTGCCTATTTGTTCAACTCTATACAACTTTAATTGTCTACCTATGCACACTCAAAGTTGGAGGATATAAATATCACGTGAACCATTAGTTTTGAAATGACTATGTATAGGCATAAATGACACATAGGATTCATATAGTGTAGCACTGATGATTCATATGTGCTGGTAACTAGTGTAGCACTTGAGGGGGAAGTTGATAACTTTTTTAATAGTCGAAAAATATCTGAGGGCCAGTGATCCACGGATCAAAACTTGTGGATAATGAACTCGTTTATTTATTCTTCTCCACTGAAATACGAGTTTTTTTAATAGCTGTGAGGTTAGAATTCCATGAAATGGGTCTAATCTGCACATTACGAGCTGTGTCATTAGCACTAGACCGAAGCATTGAGTCAGACGAGTTGATATTTTTAACTGATTGATATAAACCAGTTTCTGGCTAAGCTAAGGAATATCCGAGGAACACTTGAGAGCCAGTTTCGCACGGTTCAGGAACAATGAATAATGAATCCATCCTTTTACCCTTCTTCAATTAAATTCCCAAGATTTTTGTCCGCAACAAACAGGGTCCGGACTCGTGATGTGTGTCTGTAATCCACATATTAAGATCATGAACTGCGAGGTTAACAGCTAGACCAAAGTCCTAGGGACGGACTACTTCATATTTAACTGATTTATGTAAAGCAGTTTCTGGCTAAGCTAAGGAATATTTTTTTCTAACATTGAACTGAACTTGAGTCTTGAATTTGAGGGATATGGACTAACTGAAACGGCCGGAGCAGCATTTCGGGCTGGAACTACTGAAGAAATGCTACGTCAGGGTTCTGTAGGAAGGTTACTGGCAAATACTGAAGCAAAAATTGTAGATCCAGACACTGGGATTGGTCTGCATCCTGGTGAGCAAGGAGAGCTCTGGATCAAAGGTCCAACCATTATGCAAGGTAACTTCAATTACTTGACGGAGTGATGTTTAACAGAAAGCTCGATTTCAACTTGTTTGGAATTGAGGCATAGTTCATTGTCACCAATACTGTAATATTTTTTCAGGATACATCGGTGATCCGAAGAACACTTCTGAAACTCTGATGCCAGGTGGGTGGTTGAGGACTGGTGATCTTTGTTATATTGATCATCATGGGTACCTTTTTGTTGTAGACAGGCTGAAGGAGCTAATCAAATATAAGGGATACCAGGTTCCATTGCTACCTGCATTTGTAACCTTTTAAGTTCTTATGCACCTTACGTTGGAAATCCCTCCCGACTTATTCATTCTTGATTTTCAGGTTGCTCCTGCTGAACTAGAACAACTTCTTCAATCCCACCCTGAAATAGTAGATGCTGCTGTCATACCGTAAGATTTTGCATTTTTGTTTTCAGACAACTAAGCTAAGACATATCATTTGCACACTGCAAGAAATGAATCTTTATGAACAAATTGTGGCAGATATCCTGATGAAGAAGCTGGTCAACTGCCCATGGCGTTTGTTGTGAGACGTCCCCAAAGCACTCTTGACAAAGAACAAGTGATTGATTTTATTTCAAAACAGGTGCATCCTTTTACTATTTGCTCTGAGCTATTTCTCGTTCTCCATCATAAAAATCTACTCCCTCCTTTATAATTTATGTGTTTTAGTTGACGAGACACAAATACTTTTTTGAAGCTTGCGGACACATTCTAAGTAGAAAGAAAAACAAGATACTTAGATTGAAACGAAGGGACTAATAATTTGACTACCATTTTAGCTCAAAAATCTCATGTATGAAAGTGAAATGCATTGACGATAAAGGCAGATTGTAGTTGAACTAAATAAGAATCGACTGGCGTGCTTGTCCACAACATAATTGTGCATATATTTTTTTGCAGGTTGCTCCATATAAGAAAATAAGGCGGGTGGCATTTGTTAGCTCCATACCAAAAAGTCCATCTGGGAAGATATTGAGAAAAGAATTAAAAAGGATTCATTTACCAGGATCTAAGTTGTAATCAAGGTCCTTTCAAGTGTTTTTTCTTGCACATTATTTCATGGCAGGATTCTCCATTGTTTCATCTGATTCAAGGACAGCAAGTTTGCAGAAGAACGTCGTTGGTTCTATTTTAATGTAGCAACCACGGAGATCACTCTGTTCGTGCAAGGACAGACATACAAGTTTTATAGCACTTTGCTTATACGCAAAGAAGAAGAAAATCAGAATGCGAAGTTATCAGCTTCTCAGAGGAGACTAGTAGTTCGCGAACGCGGTCAGCATTGGAGCCACACCACACCATGAATTGGTGCTTCTAGCAACACAACTTGATCTTTAAACCTTGTACAAACGAATATGACTGCAGCCACTTGAAATGTCTTAATGTAACTTGGACCAGACCTGAATGTTCAAATAACTTCTGTGGAGTTTTCATGTGCCAATAATTTTTTTAATTATTTAAAAGTGTACATATTAATTGAAGGCTGTTTTTACATTTGAAAAATATATACAATAATCCAACTCATTTCTAACAATTGATTTAACATCAAGGGTGCTTATTATCACATTCCAAATGTGAACGAGTATTGTTTCTCAAACCCAAAATGTTAAAAGGGGATAAAGTGGGGGCATTTTTATGATAAATTTGGTTGAGTAATTTTATAAGATTTTTAAAAAAAAAATTGAATGATTTTATCAATATAAAATAAAGGTCAATGATTTTGTTACATAATCTCGTATAGTTGAATGTAGGATTGTTCAAAGCCGAATCGAAAAAAAGTTATTGATTTATCAGTAATGTGTTATTGATTTAGCAGTTTTGATTTTTTTTTATTATCGGTTCTTAACGATTTGATTTTTTTTTCTTAACGGTTATGCAATAACCTGATAATAAATTAAATAATTATATTTATATCATTTTGTATAAAAGTTGCTTGACTTAGAGTTTAGTTTTCTACTTTTATTTATTGTTGTTTCAAGCTACAGTTTATTTAACCATGTAAAAGTGTTTATTTTTTATCAATATGTAATTTGTGAACTAGTGCATTATTCATTTGATTTGTTACCTTATTTCTAATAAGTGATTTTTAATGACTTTTTTTTTTTTTGTGTGTGTCAATCAATATGTTAATAATTTTATAATGATTTAGCATATCTAGGATAAATTTCAAAATCGAACCAAATCCATCAATACATATGTCATATATTGAACATTGTCTTTTAAGGCATTTGACTTGTCTTGGCTGGGCATTTCACTTTTCCCCAAATTTTGCACTTTTGGGTTCCGATGGCTCCATCTGCCGGAGAAGATAAACAAAGTAATCTTCTCTATCTCCATGTAAGTCTCCACAATTCCACTATATCCCAAGCAAAATTGACGCAATTTTTTTTGTGTAGATTGTCCCAAGAGAGTTGCAGTCATTGGTGCTGGCGTCAGGTATCTTTAGCTTCTGCAATTATTTTATCATATCAGTTTAACTTTACCTAATTTTCCAATTCTCTTCGCCATCATAGCTAACAATGCAAGTTTGTTATTCATATCATCGTATTGTTGTTCAAGTATTTTGCTAGTAAACTCTTAAAGCTTCAATTTTCATTTTCCGTTTTGATCCTTTTTACTTTTTAAGTTGATGCCACTAACTTATTTAATATTCAAGTGGACTTGCTGCAGCATACAAGTTGAAAATTCATGGCTTGAATGTCACAGTATTCGAAGCAGAAGGGAGAGCTGGAGGGAAGTTACGAAGCATGAGTCAAGATGGGATAATATGGGATGAAGGCGCAAATACTATGGTATGTTAATTCCTAATTTGCCTTTGAATTTTGTGCATTGTTTCCAATTTGGATAAACTAGTAAACAAGTATCTTTTGACCTTATGCAGACTGAAAGTGAAGGTGATGTCACATTTTTGCTTGATTCACTTGGACTCCGAGAAAAACTACAATTTGTAAGGGTTACTGCTTTAACTATGTGTTATAACCTTTGAAAGAAGCCCTTGATTCATTTTTGAACTATGGGATAAGCTTTAGAGTCTTGAAAATTTTGATGGCTTTAGACTTTAAGCTGAGATTCTAACTGAAAACTGCTTATCCATGCTTTCACTCTGCAGCCACTTTCACAGAACAAACGCTACATTGCCAGAAATGGTACTCCTACTCTGGTTAGTTTTGTTCATGGCAAGCTTATTAACTTGCATGTTTCTCTGCACTGTTCAGCTTTACTTGCATTCTACCGAAATGGTGCTTTTGGAGTTTGTGATTAGTCATGTTCTAAGCTAGGTTTTTAATTCCAGATACCTTCAAATCCAATTGACCTGATCAAAAGCAATTTTCTTTCCACTGGATCAAAGGTATGTGGGTCATCCTACCTTCCTGATTTAGATATAAATTTTGATAAGTTCATGTTGAGTCTTTCAACTTGCTCCTTTGGGAAGTGTCAGTGAAACATTAAAGTTCAAATAGGATTGCAATCTTATATCTTCTTATCTTCAAGTTTTGTTGTTAACCTGTTTGAAGTTTGAATGATGAGTTTATTTTTACCATAGCTTAGCGAGATTTGTGTACCCGAATTTACTTCTCGTGTTAAGCAATATAGCTTATTTGCAGATCCCCTCAGAACTGTCTGTAAATTGCAATTTCTTGCTGTTTTAATAAAATGAGTGTTTGTAGTGATTTCGAAATAAAGACATGATGAATTGCCTGCATAAGCTTAATAATTGTAATTGGCAATTTGCCTGTATACATTTAGGTGATTGTTTCTACCAATCAACAGTTTCTTGAGGCAAATACACTTGGGGGTTTAATTTTGGAAATATCGTGATTTTTTTTAATTTATTTTTTTGAGAATGATATCTTGAAATACATTTCATCTCGAAAAATGGTTTAACCGATTAGGTGAATTTTTGACAGGTAGACCCAAATATCAGTGAAAATATGTGGTTGGTCTAAGTGATTTAGACATTGTACTTCTGGATATAGTATCATATTCCGAACATAATGGTTTCTGTAGTTAGTTGTTTGGAGACAACCTTGGAAATTGTTCTTTTGGAGTTCAAATATTGTCTATAGCTTTTTGGTGAGTCAAAGGAACGTCAGAACTTAGATCAAAAACCAGAACAACTTGAATTCTATGTTTGTCGTGACATCAGACTTGAAGTGATTATTAACAGTGGATAGTGTAGTGAAGACCTTGATAAAAATAAATATACCATATTTATATTCCTTTTTCATCTTATATCTCATTTATTTCTATCCTTTTGTGAGCTATGATGGTTAACTTTCAAGAATATTGTCTTATAAGATAGCGTAATAACTGCAGCTTCAGATGCTTTTCGAGCCACTTTTGTGGAAGAATAATAAGCTTACAAAGGTGTCTGACGAACACGAAAGGTACAAGATATTTTACCTGAGCTAGTATTTTCCATGTGCTTTCTTTTATTCCCTCCTTAAATCTAGTCTCTTCCAGTTGCTTATAACAGCAATTACCACTGTAGTGTCTGCATGGACATGTTTTTTTTTTAAATAGGTAACTTTGTATTCACACAAAAGACCTCATCAAAATCGATGAGGTGGGATTTACAAACCCCCAGGGGGTGCCATCATACTCAAATCCAAAAAGACAAAACTAACTTTACAATTGGCTTTTAAACTCCACAAGGCTATCTACTTCCCCCACTAAATTTTGCTTACACCAAAAATACAAAAGACTAAGGCATTTCATCTTGATCTCCTCTGGGCTGCTAACCTTTCCTTCAAAACATCTCCCATTTCTTTCCTTCCATAGTGTCCACCATATGCAAGCAGGGATATTTTTCCACCAGTCTTCTTTTGATCCTCTCTTTCCAATTCCTTGCCAGTGTGTTAGGACCTCAAAAGTGGTTCTGGGCATTGTCCAGTTAACCCTGAGTATACAAACGAACATGTTCCACAGATCTGTAGCTATCTTGCAATGCAGAAACAAATGACCATTTACTTCAGCCTTCTGTCCGCACATGTAGCACTTTGAGCAGATCTGTATACCTCTTCTTTGTAGCACTTCATGGGTGAGACAAGCTCTTCTAATTACCAACCAAGTGAAACATGCAACTTTTAAAGGAACCTTAATTTTCCAGATTAATTTCCAAGGCCAAACTGTTGTCAGGAGATGATTGGTATTCCTCTCCCAATAGCATGATTTAACTGTAAAAACCCCTCTGCTATGCAGTCTCCAAACTGGTTTGTCCGGCTCTGTGACAGTGCCTGGAAACAAGTTTAAAACATGCAGTAGGTCTGCTACTCTTCCAACCTCCCAATCATTTAGGGCCCTTCTGAACATAAGGTCCCAACCTTGAGGGGTCCACATTTGCGCTATAGTGTCATTCTGCTGTAGACTGATAATGTACAGATCGGGAAAAAGTGTCCTCAGATTTACGTCACCTAACCAGGTCTCGTTCCAGAAACTGGTCTTCAAACCATTCCCCACTCTGAAGGTCACCTTTGCACTGAAATCAGGCCACATCCTCCTGATGGTTTTCCACACAGAGCACCCAAAAGTGCCATTCACCTCTTCAGTTATCCAGTTGCTTTGTAGGTCATATTTCTCTGCAATAAACCTCCTCCATAATGCCATATCTTCACAACAGAATCTCCACAGCCATTTTTGCAGCAGGCTAGTGTTCTGAGTACTCAATTTCTTAATGCCCAGACCTCCTTGTGCTTTGCTCATTGTCACCTCTTCCCATTTAACCAGGTTGTATCCTTGCTTCTCTTTATTTCCTTGCCAGAGGAAGACCCTTCTCAGCTTGTTGAGTTTCTTTCCAATACTTTTTGGTAGTGGGAAAAGACTTAGCATATAAGTCGGAAGTGCATCCAGAACTGATTTTATGAGAGTCAATCTACCTCCCAGGGATATATATTGACTCTTCCACCTTGTCAGCTTCCTTTCACTTCTCTCCAGAACTTCACTCCATACTTCCAATTTTTTGTTCTTGGCGCCCAAGGGCACCCCCAGGTATTTGGTGGGAAGAGAAGCTACTTGGCAGCCCAGGTTGTCGGCAAGGCCTTGCATGTCATTTACTTGATTAACCGGGAACAAACAACTCTTCTGCCAGTTTACATGTAGTCCTGATATGCCTTCAAAAATGGTTAGTATTGCCCTCAAATGTCTAATTTGCGACACTTCTGCACCACAAAATACTAAAGAGTCGTCCGCATAGAGAAGGTGTGTGACCTCCATATTATTGGCTCTGTTTGTGTGTGCACCAAAACCTCTTATCCACCCCATTTCATTAGCCTTTCTGACCATGTAGTTGAGTCCCTCCATTGCTAGGAGAAATAAGAAAGGAGACATGGGATCTCCTTGTCTCAATCCCCTTTGTGATTGAAAAAAACCTTCAGGACTCCCTTGTCTGCATGGACATGTTGTCTGTTCCATAATCTACATATATTCTTATGGTGATTTTTATTACTAGCTGCATCATATTCACATGCTTTTGCACTTAGTCAATCTAGTAGTCTTTCGACTGCCAAATAAATCGTAAGGGCAAGTTTAATTGACATACCAATCCATATTATATGCAGTGTCAGTGGATTCTTCCAGCGTCATTTTGGAAAGGAGGTTTTTGCTTACCTTTGATTGACTTTGCCTCTATGCTCCTTGAATCTTCTGATGTTCCATTACAAAAGAAAATCTCGCTGTATATAATAACTTTAATTAAATACCTAATATCCATATGTTTTCTTGTTACCTCCTAGGTTGTTGACTATCTAATTGACCCTTTTGTTGCTGGAACATGTGGTGGTGATCCTGACTCGCTTTCAGTGAGTATTCGTCTATATCGCTTGTTTGTCTGTCCTATATTTTTTTAACACAAACCTCAGAGAGGATAAGATAATGGGGTCAATATGCCATTGTATAGTTACACAATTTCTCCTACAATTAAGTAAAAAGGGTAAACTGGGGGAGGACAATGTAAACTTGACGTGTAGCTAGTATATTGCATGAGCCATAGATTTAGGTCATGACTTGTTATCTTACGCGTCATTCTGGCTATCACTCCAATTTCATTGTTTTCTTTCCTTTTGACACAGATGCACCTTTCGTTTCCAGAGTTGTGGAATTTAGAGAAAAGGTATGTACTTCCAAATTTCCGCCATCACATGGGTTTGCAATCATTCTCCTTGCTTCCTTCTCCCACAGTTGCAGAGGTGCTACTGTAAAACACTTCTTGTTGATAGAGGATGCAATTTGTTGAGCAAACTCCTTGCAAAAAAATAAATAATCATCCAAATAGCCCTCTTATGGAATTTGGTGTCAATACTTGCTAGGTTTGGCTCAGTCATAGTTGGGGCAATTCGATCCAAGTTATCACCTATAAAGGAAAAGAAACAAGGGCCACCCAAAACTTCAGTAAATAAGAAGCACCAGCGGGGGTCCTTTTCATTTTTGGGCGGAATGCAAGTAAGTATACTTTTGTTCTCTTTTTCTTCATGCATTGAAGGTAAAGGGCAGAAAATTTGAATTTTTACAACCACATCTTTTATGCATCATGTATCATTTCAGGGTCAGCCATCTATTTGATTCCACAGATGACTTGTCTAATATTTCAGCATGAACTTCACACACTAGATCTGACTTGTCAATCTTGTCCCTGTCTGGGTGATTTCTTACTTTAAGTTTCTAACATAAGGGGTAGGTGTAAAGGGATGATATACCAAACTTGACTACTTCGACTCATTCTCTTTATCTTTTCTCATGAAAAATATTATTCTTAATGATAGATTATATCTCTTTAAGTGAAAGATAGATAAATGAGTAGTCGACTATTGGCATCACTTACGTCTTATAGAAACTCGATCCTGTGATTTCTGTTAGTTATCTTTCATCCTAGTGTTATCTCATCCAAATGTTTTGCAGACACTTACTGACGCAATATGCAAAGATCTCAAAGAAGATGAACTTAGGCTAAACTCTAGAGTTCTGGAATTATCTTGTAGCTGTAGTGGGGACTCTGCGATAGATAGCTGGTCAATTTTTTCTGCCTCACCACACAAGCGGCAAGCAGAAGAAGAATCATTTGATGCTGTAATTATGACGGTGAGACACTGGAATGATTGATTCCTTGTATTTTCTTTGATTCAACTAGCTTCATTCAATCTCAGTCTCATGACATGTGATTGTTCAATTCTTCTAATGACGGACTCTTGAATACCTGAGTCCTGTGCAGATGTTAAATGTTGCCGTTATTGACTATGCTTCTGTAAATTAGGCCCCTCTCTGTGACGTTAAGAGTATGAAGATTGCTAAGAGAGGAAATCCATTTCTGCTCAACTTTATTCCTGAGGTTTGTGCTTCTGTGGTCATTTGGTGTTTTGTATAGTATAGGCATTCTTGCTTTGTAGAATAACCTCATGTCAGCAAATGAAAATGTCTTTCCACATGATATGCACTCATTTCCTCAGTTAATGCTTTAATTCAAGTGAACTTTTAAAGTAAGTCGGTCTCAGTTCCAAGAGGAGAAAGTTGCACAAACACTATATCTAACTGGAACCCTATTTTCCGTTAGTGTATCTTGAGAAGAGTTATTATATGACGGGTCAAGTCTGAAACTATATGTTATGTACTGTGTATTTGTGCATGAACTGTTATGTTCATTGGCACTGTTGCAGTCTAGCTGAGCATACGATGTGCAGGTCGATTATGTACCACTATCTGTTGTTATAACCACATTTAAGAAGGAGAGTGTAAAGCATCCCCTTGAGGGTTTTGGAGTGCTTGTACCCTCCCAGGAGCAAAAACATGGTCTAAAGACACTAGGTAATGCTTAGGTATTATGTTAAGAAGTGTAGGTAGCTGGAAACTGCTGTATCCTTAGTACTTCTGCACTGCACGCAGGCACCCTCTTCTCTTCTATGATGTTTCCAGATCGTGCACCCAACAATGTCTATCTCTATACTACATTTGTTGGTGGAAGCCGAAATAGAGAACTCGCGAAAGCCTCAAGGTTTCTATAATTTCATTTTGTTGCAGTCTCTTTTACTTTGTCCCTATTATACTTAATGATGATGTTGCTGTCGACTTTTCCAGTCAAATAAAAATGTTGGATTCTTGTATTCACAGGACTGAGCTGAAAGAGATAGTAACTTCTGACCTTAAGCAGTTGTTGGGTGCTGAGGGAGAGCCAACATCTGTGAAGTACGTGAATTCTTAGTATATAGCTTATCTTATTCAAGCGTCTGCAGGCTTTGCTTTAAAAATTTGAGATTTTGAAAAACTGGTTATTTCTTTACTTGTAGTCATGTATGCTGGAGTAAAGCATTTCCGTTGTATGGGCATAACTATGATCTAGTCCTAGATGCAATTGACAAAATGGAGAAAAATCTTCCTGGATTATTCTATGCTGGTAATATTTCAATTTTCCTTACTTGAAATATCTTCTTTTCTTCCCCTAGATGCAGCTTCTTTGCAACGAATAAGGTTCGCAATGTACTCTACTATAGGCCATGTATCATGTAACCTATAGCTTAGTAAATATTGTATTCTTATGTTTGAGATCACCTCTATGTGATTCAAAGCCAAATATACTCGTTGAATTCTTTAGCCTAGCATATGCCTACTGATGTGCTTGGCATGAAAGCTGAAGCTGAGTTGAGTTTCCACGGACTTAAATCCCAGCTAATAAATTATTGCTTCTCTACTTTGACATGAGTTCTGCCATGGTAGGTAACCACAAGGGAGGATTGTCAGTTGGCAAAGCACTATCTTCTGGATGTAATGCAGCAGATCTTGTTATATCATATCTTGAAGCCGTTTCAAAAGACACCAAAAACCATAGCTGAAATCTATTTCTCTTGCAGGTAACACTACATCTCTCTCATTCTTTCTCTGTTGCTAGTTTTTCTACATTTTAAGTATCTCATCTTGTTATAGCTGAAACAACATTCCCTTTCCTCTACTCATTTTCTATTTTTTCAATTCGAGTACAAGTTCCCTGTTGCTAAATTTGTGACCACTTTACATGTTGAATTTTGCACATTACCTTATGCTGATTGCTAATTCCATCTGAAATCCTACCACTCATTTCCTGCAGCTTGCTCTTCTTTGTTCCACAAAATCGTTTAACTTCATGACGAGGAACAACCTTAACGTGCAGCCAGTGACGCAGCTCAAGCACGAAACTGTCTTTCAAAGAGGAGTTGCATTTCTGGAAAATGAACTGTTCACATGTTTAATTTACACACCCATTATGGTAGCTGTTAGTGTTACTAATGTTGGTGAATCTTTAGCAGATCAATAGGCCTTTCTTTCCTTGCTTTTACATCATACTCAAAGTAACCAGTTACTTTCCCTTTAAATGTGTGCCCAATAAGAGCAATAGTTTCTTTCTCCTTTTTTCTTTTTTGGAAAAATTAGCAATTAAGTCATAATACCTAACATAATTAGTCAAAATAACAACACTTTAAAATATTTATTTAAAATGACAGAATGACAATATTTTTATAAAATAACATGTATTCAGATTTTAGTATTTAAAATTAATTTTATTTATGGAAAGAGTCCTATATTGGACCAAATTATATACCAATAACCGTTTAAAGAAAAAAAAATTAAACCAATACACATTAACCTTTTTTCAACTCCATTCACGTTTCTTCCCCACTTTTCACGTTTCTTCCCCACCTTTCATGTTTCAAGTTTATCTTTCTTCAAGGTGCTAAATTGTTGTTTATCAAGAAATCTTCTTTATTGTTAAATGAAATCTATTTATTAATTCAAGCAGATTTATCGATTGACAAGGTAATTTTCATTATCCATTTTGATTTGATGTTTAAATCACTGATTCTATATATTACGGATTTTCAGTCGAATTTTTCAATTTTTATGTGATTTTGTTTAGTTATTCATCAAATAGTTATGATTTTCAATTTTTTCAATTTTTTTTGTGATTTTCTTTTAATTTTTCAGATTTTGGAGAATCTAGAAATTCATATGTATGTTTATTTTGTTTGATATTTAATACATTCTAATTTTTGATAATTTTGAAATTCAAATTATCAAAAAATTTGTCTTTCATATTTGAGATTTAGTAGATTGTAGTAACTACATTAGCACACATACATCATATATTGTTTGATTTTTTTATACATTCATATTTAATAATTTCAAATTTTGCTTATAGGGTTACTAATGCACAAGTGAATACGGATTCAGATTCGGTTTTGATGGAAAAAAAATCGGAAAAAAGAACATAGTAGATGAAGAAGAAGAAGAAAGACAGTCAAAGAAGAAGGTTACAAAATTGTATTCATACCACAACTGTATTCCTATTAATTTTTGTTTGTCAATTGTTTTTCTTTTACTCATCATTTGTATTTTTATTTTAAAACATTGTATTTCTTTTTTAGTTTGTAGTAATTTAAATAGGTATATAATGTATTCGTCACAATTCTATATCTTATGATTGAATACATAATTTATATAATTGTGACGAATACATTATAAGAATGGAAATGGAAACTTATTGGTATTCATTTTTTCGTTTGAAATACAAAATCATACTGAAATACAACCTGATATTTGAAATACAAACTTAGTAAGATATATTTTGTATTTTATTTGGCTAAGCAATATAATTTTATGAATACATAATATATAAAATTGTGCAACGAATACATCACAAGAAGGGGAATACAAAATTATTGGTATTCATTCTGCGTTTGATATACAAAATGTTATTGAAATACAACATGATATTTGAAATAAAAACTAAGCTAGAAAATACTTTCTGCAAATTTAAAGTGAAATAATAATATAACAAAATTGGATATTGAAATATAAATACAATTTATTTTGAATAAACTTATTCTATGTATTATATATGTATTCATCGCAATTGTATTTTTCACTGCTGGCAATTGACTTGAGCCTTGGGGTTTGCTCCCTTTCAAGGTCTCAAGTTCGAAACCCAGTGGGTGCAAACAATTTCTGAGGGCCATCGGACTGGGTAAAACCTGAATTAACCGTGGTGCACTTGCGGGAAACTCCTTGCCGAGGGCCTGTGCACCACCGGGATTAGTCGGGGCTCAAAGAGACTCGGACACCCGGTGCAAATCAAAAAAAATAAAATATCATTTTGATCTACATCTAATTTGTATTTCTATTTTGGTATATACTATACAACTGCCTTTATTTTTGTACTTGAACTAGAATGCCAAAGAGTTGTATTCATAATAAATCAATACCAACATTTTTTGTATTTTAAATTAGTTATACATATTATTAGATATTCGAATACATTTCGGATGAACACATATTCAAAGAAGTTCAAACATTTAAATATCCAAAACAGAGGGCATTAGAAATTTTCCAACACTTCCACTCATATAAGATATAAAATACAAACTACTGTTTCCAAAAAAAAATTGAAATTCTTAAGAACAAAGAAAAAAACGCTAGAAAGAAAAATGGCAACATATGCTTTTTCAAAAACGTAACTGATGTTAAATTTTAAAATTTTTTTACCTTTTTTGAAATTTTTTGTTCCATGATTTTCTCTATTCAGTTATTAATTATTTGTATTCTTTCAAATTAATCGAAATAAAATAAATACATAACTCAATCCTTAACAAACTAAAATATTGGCATTTTAAATAAATAGTGAAACTATTGCTAAGGAGTCCCATTAAAAGCTAAAATATTGTTGTTTTGAAATTTTTTCCTTTTTCTTTTGGTCAAAAGAGCAAAAAAAAGTTGGTGCTTACTGTTAACTTGTCACAGTACAACAAAGTAGAAAAAGATACTTGTGAGCATAAGAAAAGGGCACATTTCAAGTTCATAAATTAATAGATTTTTGATAGTGATGGATGTAAAGTTATGTAGTTCAAGTACAGTTCACGAAATAATTTTACTAGTGGATGTACCTACTTATGATACTCGATTTGGCTTTAATAATGTTAGATAATTATGATATATTTAACATAATAAATTTTAAAAATCTTATAGTCACAAAAATATTTGAAGTTATTATTTTTTATAAAAAAAAAAAGTTAAACAAAAAACGTATAGTGTTTTGCCTTAGGTGGTGCAATTATAACAACTTTATTTGTAGTGGAGCATAATAGGTGGTACAATTTGAAATGATTTTGATATGAAAAGAAAGGCAACAATAAATAGCAAAATGACTCTAAAAAGTAAAAAATCAATAGCGCATACTCCACCTTCAATGATAGTACAAATGAACCCCCAAAGTATAAGGAGCGCTAAAATCAAGCAAATAACACTCCTTTTTGGTCTACATTTTTTGACTTAGACATAAAATCGGATTATAAATAAATAAATTCTAGTTCAAAATATATTTTTGTGACATTGTAGGCGGATTAAAAAGAAAAGTGCATAGAAACTAAATTAGTACTAGTACTTGAGTCACGGACGAACATTTATGTTTGGTCCACATTTGTCTCTGCCAGTGTCATTACCTCACCTTGCTTGGCACCCGGCAATCAGTGGCTGACGCATTTTTTTTACAGTCAATTTAATGAAAATAATTTACGATACAGATATGTAACCTTTTTTGTTATACACATATTGCTGTTTTCGTTCACTTTTACTTGTTCAAAAGGACATAGTCATCTGTCAGTAGTTGTGTTTCTTGTTTTGGAGTTCTGTAATTAAACAAACTTAAAAAGACCATTAATGTTATTAAAACCCAAAATGAGTAAAGTAATCAAGAACACGACAACCCACCTCCCTCGTCCTTTGCGTCTTGTTGTCCAATAGGAAAAAGACATTCTTTTTCTCTGTATTTTCTCACTCACTCAACACCCCCACCTGGTTTTTGGGTTTTTCTTCTCATGTTTATCTCTCATGAATAGTTAATCATTTATCCCATTGCTGTGTGGGATAAAAAAGGTACCATCTTGGCCTGCATTTCTCTCACATTCATTTGATTTTCTGGTTTAATGTTTCTATGGAAGTGCAAAGTTTCTCATTTACTCCTGGGAAATTTTTTGATATTTCTGGTGTAATGTTTTATGTAAGTCATTTCTTTTTCATTTTTCTCAGTGGAAATCTTGATGTTATTACTACTTCATGCCACATTGTGAATTTGTGATGTAGAGTAGCTGTTTAGTCTTCGCTTTTGCTTTATTCGAGATGGGGTTACTCTCATTCTCTTCTGTTAGTCTGCCTACTTCTCTGCTCTTCAATCTCTGTCCATTATGCTTTTTCTGGTGACCAAATGTTGTACATTTTTGTTTGAGCTTCTTTTCTTGTATTGATTTTTTTATCCTCTCTGAGGTCTTGTCTACTTAATGTGTTTTAAAATAAAGTTAGTTGACTTGAGCACCCACAAGTTAGAACTGTCAAGTAAATGGAAACTGTCATAAGGACTGTTAACGAATAACTCGGGTTTCTAAGCCTGTGAAATCATTTTATTCTTCAAGTTCAGACTAACTTGGTCGCGTTGCAATGTATACATGTTAGATGGCATTTATTGTTTCTCCCAAAAGTAGGTTGAGTTGTTGGATAGAATCAAATTTCTTTTTTAAGTTTGAAATATCTTGGTCTTTCATACAACTTGAAGATGTGTTTTCTATTTATTATGTGCAGGCTCATATCATCCAGTTGAAGACCATTCCTTATCTTTGTTTCTGAAATCATGGTTTTGGGACTGAAAACTAGGACTAGGAATAGCCCGTCAGTTCAAGTCGAATATCTAATCCATATTAAGGAGATTAAACCTTGGCCAGCCTCACAGTCACTGAATACGCCTCGTGCTGTTCTAATTGAATGGCAATATGGTGATAAGCTCTCTGGATCTACTAACCAAGTCGTGCCATCGTTGGGAACTGGTTCTGGTA